GTTTTGTTTTGTTTTTCATTCCAACAAGGTCTTTCTATGTAGTTCAGGCTGGCCTTGAACTCATGGCAATCCTCCAGACTTAGTCTCCTGAGTGCTGATATTGCAGACATACAGACATGCTCCACCATGCTTGGTTTGTTCCTAATATTTTGCTTCAACCTGCTTGAGACATTCAGTATAAGGAAACATTCAGTATAAGGCAAGTGAAGCTCATATTTTACAGCAAGAAGTGGGGTTGCCATTCCATTACAAATTAGCAGTATGTGAACAAATTCTCATGTGATGTGTGGGGTTTTATAACCATGAAGTTATTTGATTTCATTTGTATTGACTCCTTCTTTCTCATTGATGCCTATTAGTCTCACATTGTTCATCTTTGCATCATCTTGCAGGTGATGAATTATTTTTTCCTGCATCCTAGTTGCTTTTAGGAGATCCTTTCTTACCTTTTCACTAGCTGCACCAGCGTCTTCAAGATCTGAAACTCTGTCTTCACTTTCATTTAAATGGTTTTGCAAGCTTGCGACTGAGATTTTAAATTCCTCTATATCTCTTTGACTCTGCTTCTTGTGATCTATTTCTTTCCTCTATTGCTCATTTAAGGAATCCATCATTTTTCTAATCTCCACTATTTTTTTTATCAATATCTTCTTTAGAAGCAGTTATTAATTCTTTTACTGCAGTTTTTTTTCAGATTGAGTTTCCTCCCTATGTTTCTGTAGTTGATTCTTTTCTTCAGATGCTATGAGTTCCAAGAATTCTTTTCTTATTTCAGAAAATTCCACTCTGAGTTCCTCTATAACTTTCTGCTATTGCTTATTTACTATCGACACTATTAATTCATACATTTGAGCTGAGCTAGTAGAAAAGAATTCCGCTCTGAGTTCCTCTATGACTTTCTGCAGCTGTTTCTTTATTTCAGAAGCCATTGATTCATTGCTTTCAGCTGTGTGATTCCCAATTTGTTCTGTTATAACCATGAAGTTATTTGATTTCATTTGTATTGACTTCTTTCTCATTGATGCCTATTAGTCTCACATTGTTCATCTTTGCATCATCTTCAAGATCTGAAACTCTGCACTTGTTATGGGTGTGCTTGGGTTTGGAGATTGCATTTTGTTCCTTCTCATTGGCATTTTGTGTAGCACTGTCTTCTGACATTTGTTGTAGAACTTTGGTGCAGTTATAACCTTAGCACCTAGTGAGGTTTAGGTGCAGATCTACAAAGTTTGGATCTATCCAGCTGTCCCTGGTTTGGATCTGGCTGCTATGCTGAGCTCCTTCCTGCTACTGCCCTTGGGAGTGAACCTGTTGTGCCCCGCTGGCAAGATGTTCTGCTCCTGGACTAGCTGGGTGGTTCTGTCCCCTA